TTTTGCACAATCATGCTACTCAACTAATATAATCCCTTCTTACTCTCATGCAAATGTGATAAGCTAGTGCCTGGCATATGGTGCATTGATGTCTAAAGGTGATGATAACATCCTCCTTTGTTATTGATTTTATCTAGCTCATAAATAAATACCACGAGTAGAGGAGGTCAAGTCAACACATCAAGCAATCAAAGGGATGTATGGATTTTAATGCATCTGACAGATCAGATATAGTGGTCACAGAACACTGGTAAGAAATCCAGTCTTAATTTTTTAATTTGAAGGAGGCTTGGATTTTATTAAATCCTAGCAGAGTCAGGCATAGCATGACTTAATGCTAAACACCAGCTTCTCTCTTTTTAAGACAAATATTCTTCTTTACTTCAGAGGGAAACGTACATTTAAACTGAAGAACAGCAGAATTACAAAGCACAATTTAAAATCCTACAGCAAAGAACAAAAGGGAAGTTAGGCAATACAGCTACAGCAGTTACAACAAACCCGAAAAACAGTTTGCCTAACTGATGGATTGTCTAACTGTCAGGAAGGAGAGTAACAGTACAATACATAAAAGCTAAAGTCTAGTACAAAGAGGTTTACAAAAATGAGATTTGGTAAACTCCTGTTTCAGTTATTCTGTTTAATTATTACAGTAAGATGGGCAATGTATAAAGTTTATGAGTTTACGTTTCATCAAAAGGAAATACTTCTGATTTGATTTAGTGGAAAAGTTTATGCTGTCTGATCCAATCATTCCTGGGTATCAAGACTAAGAGGGTTGCAAGATCCAGAGCAGAGAATCTTATGGCCTCAGTACCTGGGTATTTCATCATGCTCCGAGCCAACACCTTTCCTTCCAAGTAACTCCTTCCAGAAGCCAATGACCCCCGAAATAGGAAGGATGAGAGAATGTGTTCTACACATTCCAAACACAGAAACCCTTGTACCCACATTCTCTGTAGATCTCTGCTGAATGAGAGGAGTCTTTTCTTGGGTAAGTCTAGAAAGCACTAGGACGTCTGGCATGCATCCATACTCCCATTCTACCACTACTCTAAGTTTCCTGCCCTCCAGTGAAGTCATGCAAGATCACTTTGTGAATAATTATTCTTTACACTGAGTGCAGACAGGCATGGGCTGTGGGCCCCTTGGGTTCAGATCCTTCCAGAAAGGAGCGTAGCTCGTGCTGCCCAAAGTGGAGGTGCTGAAACCTGGCTGCTGCCAGGTAGTGCTGTGGGAAATGGCTCTGGTGCCTCACAAGGAACTGACTGTTCCTGGTAAGCTGCCAGGGTATCTCTTCCTTGCCCTCTGATCTGTCTTACATGAAATAATAAATTGCAATTCAGGTTCTAAGCAATGGCTATGTGGTTTAAATACACTCACAGGACTTAGTTTAACTTGGTTTAAAAAATGCAAGTTTATTTATTAGGACAGACTACAGAGAAGCTACTTTTAATGAACTGTTTCTATTTGGACTGACTTTGTTCTCATTCGCTTGAAGAGTTGTCATCTGCCTTATCAGCACATTCCATTCTTGTAAATCTGGACATTCTTATTTTCTTCACTGCAAGAACAAAAATATTTTAAGAGGAGAACTACCACGCTTTCATTTAACAGACACATTTTATAAAGCAAACTTTTCCATGTTAATGTTCAGTTAAAAGGGACAATATATTTACATGTTCAGTTAAAAGTAGCAATCTATTTATTTGCACTACTTGCAGCAAGCCTTATTGCAAAGTAACTGATGAAAAGATGTATGAATTATGCACACAGAGCTAATAACTTAGAGACAGCCTCACTTCAGACTTTGTTACCTATAAGAATCCAGTAAAAATCTGAAAACCTGAGTAGTACCAAACCACATGAGAAATCTCACAGAAGTGAGATTGTGCATTGCAAAGCACTAATGCAAGTCAAACTTCATAGTCTGTGTCATGAGAAACAGTTCTAATGCTGGGAATTCAGTGGAAAGGGTCCATATGTCAAGGAGTAACACTTCTGCTTCCTTCTACTCTGACAGGCAAGTTATCTTGCTGAAAAACTAAATCTCATGGATCTTTCTGGATTGTTACTGACAAATTGTGTCAGCTTTGCTTACTCATTTTTTTCCCCCTGTGGCTGTCTACATGTCTATCGCTTAATAACTTACTCCAGTACCAGTGTACACAGCAAAAATGGGTAGGCTCCTAATAAGGTATCATGACAGTACCTCTTTTCTCCCCTTTACACCAACTGCACTAGATGAGCCACTTCATCTGCTGGCGTTTCTAAATTTTACTCAGACTGCAGGTATGCCAATTGGTTACCAATTTTTGCTCAAATTTTGTTATTTTCTTGGATAGTTTGTGATGCGCTCCAGTCAGAACGTTACCAAACTCTGCAGATCTGCACATAAACATACTTTGACGTGGAAAAGTATTTTAAAATACATTTTTATAATATTCATTATTTTAAATATTAGTTCCTTAAATTGTCCTCTGACACCTTCGACATTTTCCTTATTCTGACCTATGCTCTCTCTACCTTGCTCATTTGAATTGTGTAAGTGATCTTGTCACAATTAACCTTCCCCTTCACCCTGAAGTCAAGAACATATTTTAGTTTTCTCTTTCTTGAGATCTATTTCTAATTCTGTAAATGTCCATCACTGCTGTTCTGCTACCCCCACTTCTCCCGTCTGATAGAAACAAGAATCCTATTATTTTGTTATCATATTAATATATACGGTGCTTCACCATCCAATTTGATTCACAACAGCTCCTCTCAATTTGTAATGAGAACCTGCACTGCAGAGCTTTCTAGCTAGTCACTACAAATGTAACAATGTTTATTAGGGGATGATTTTCTTTGTTTTCAATTTGTTTTAAAAACTATGAAATTATAAAAGGGTAAAATGACATCTCTCAAGGAGGGTAGGAGATCTTATTCTTGACTGTTAGACAACCTGAATGGCAAACAGTATTTTCTCCTAACATTTGGCATTCTTACTTTTCTCGGTGAAACGGAGCACAAGAGATTGGATCTTGACAGTAAAATCTTTTCACTAAGAGCTGCATTTCAGCTGGGTCTTTCATGTTTTCTGTAAGTTTCTGATGGAGGGTATTCAAGAGTCCAGTATTGTACAGTGTACAATAATACTTGCTATTAAATCTTTAATGTGGCAAAAGGAAATTTTACTTGCTGGCACAGGCTACCCAGAGAGGCTGTGGATGCCCCAACCCTGGAGACTCTGAAGGACATGTTGGTTGGAGCCCTGGGAAGCCTGAGCTGGTGGGGGGTCAGTCAGCTCAGGGCAGGGGTTTGGGACTGGATGATCACTGGGATCCCTTCCAACCCAAGTCTTTCTGTGATTCTATGTTTGTATTTAACAGTAGTGTATGAACTGTGTGCAAAGCCTGTGCTGTGACACACTTCTTAATACTACCAGCTAATCCAAACTGAGCAATTTACAGGTATCACGATAAAAACCATTGCAAGGAAATGACATTTGAGGAAATGCTAGAACTGCTGTTAACAGAAGGTGAGTGAGCAACAACTCTTCACTTAATGGGGAAATGAGAGTGAACGTTTCCACAGAGAAAGGAAGGTAAGGATGTGCAGCAAATGCCTACCTGTTGGAAAGGCAGAGCACACACTCGTTGGAGTAGGTCTTTCCATCAGTCCCACAGACTGGGTTGTAGTCCCTCGGACATCCAGGCAGACGGCTGTACTTGTCGCATGCCGGCTGGGAAAGACACACAGAGGAGGTGAGACACACAGGAAGCACACCCACAGACCCTAATCGGCAGGTGACAGATGGGAACGCGGAGGCCAGCGCCCCGGGACAGCAGCGCTGCAGCCGCAGGGCAGGCACACTGCTGGCACAGGGAGCTGCGGGGTCTCAGCAGCGGGCAAGGCTCACTCACCGGGACGCTGGCGGCAGCTGCGGGGCACAAGAGCAGCCCTGCGGGGAGAGAGGCGGCGTGACCGGCCGGGTCCCGCCCGACTTCTCCCCATCCCGGCTCCTCGTCCCGCTCCCCGCGCCCTCCCCCGACCCTTCTCCCTCCCCTGCCCACAGCCCTCGGTGCGGGACCGGGATCGTCCCCGCTGCTCCTCTCCCAAGCCCCGCCACCGCCCGCTACCGGTGAGGACAACGAGCAGCAGAACGCGCATCGTCAGCTTCGCCGCCATCGCCGTGCGCTAACGGTCGGAGTGCGGCGGGGCGAGGCGGGGAGCGAGGCGCAACGGGCGAGGGGACAGGGACACGCCGGGCACGGAGCGCAGGGGCGGGGCACGGAGAGCCTGGGCTGAGCCCTCGGCTGGGGGTGTGGAGGGCTCCTAGCGGGGACCTGGGGCGTCTGTGGTGCTTCAAGCACCTGTGGAGTGTGGAGGTGTGCAGGCACACTGCCTGAGTGCAGTCCTTAGAATCACAGCGTCATTAGAAGAAACCGCTAGGGTCATCACATCCAACCCCCAAACCATCCCTGCTGACCACGTCCCTCAGTGCCACATCCACCCTTTTCTCCAACACCTCCAGGGATAATGTCTGCACCACCTTCCTGGGCAGCCTGTGCCGCTGCATCGCTGCTGTCAAAGAATAAACATGTCCTAATACCCAACCTGAACCTTCCTTGGTACAACTTGAGGCCATTCTCTCCCATCCTCCACAATCCACATCCGCCACAATCCATCCGCAACAGTCTCCTTTCAAGCAGCTGCAGAGAGCCATAAGGTCTCCCCTGAGCCTCCTCTTCCCAAGATGGAACAACCCCAGCTCCCTCAGCTTCTCCCCATAAGACATGTGCAACAGAGCCCTCACAGCTTCATTGCTCTTCTCTGCAAACATTCCAGGGCCTCAATGCCTTTCTTGCAAACAAGTTGTAGGACAACAGGTGGACTGGAAGACCAATCAGCCAATGATTTGCCCAAGAGGCAAAGAGAATGAAGGAGATTACTCACATTTTCTGCTGTTGTTGTGAGCTAATTAAGGAATAGAAGTAACACTGCAAACCTGTAAATGGAAAACCAGATAATTAATAAACATCACAATTAAGGAATTAATCTTTCATGAACTAAATTAGGAATGGTGAGTGAATAGGTACATGGGAGGACGACTTTTGGAAGATCCTAGAGATGACTGTTTGCTTATGGCAGTAATGGACTAAATCATCCTTGGCTGTCTGCTTTGAAGGCAAAACTGACTGCTGAGTCTTTCCACACAGTTCCCAGAAATTGACTGTGGTCACTGACTAGGGACCTCAGGAGTTCTATCTTCACAATTCAACATGATGTAGACAAGAAATCCAGTTTTCAAAATACAGAAAACATCAGCTTTCCCTACAGACCAGGATACTACATGTTGGAGCAAAAGCCAATGAAAACCTCCCTTATTGAAACATGACTTAAAGCTGCATGGTTAGATGCCCATTGCTAAGAGAACACAGCTCTTCTGGGAGCAGCTGATAGATTCCTTTCTCCTTAAAGAAACTCCCTAACAACCTTATTCTCCTGCGTTCTCCTGTGTTGTTTTTGTTTTGTGTTTGTTTTAATTGATTTATGGCTTTTTTTTTTTCCCTAGACATAGGAAACAGCCCTCCTAAGAGGCTAACACAGTCTAAGAATAAAGAATGCTCACAAATACCACTCTTGGCTGAAGACATTTCCTTCTGACACAACACACCCGAAGTTAGGCGGTATGTCTGCACAGACAGCTCTTTGCATTCCAGCAGAGTAGGAAGTGTGTCTTTCGGGTGAAAGTGGTGGGAGGTAGAGAACGTTTTCAGGGCTTTGCTGTTCTAAACTCTCTTTGATGTTCCCAGTTCCTTCCATGGCCTTAGCCAATTCTCAGCCTTTGGGCTGCAGGCACTTAGTGCTTGTGCAATGCATTAAGGAAAAAGGTAAGTGGAAACAACCTTTTGAGTGATGAGCAATGAAGTGGAAAGAAGACAAAGTAGTCATGAATGTTGCTTACCAGAAGTCATTTTGATTTGGTGCAGAAAGTTCAGCATAGACCAAAGGATGGAGTCTAAGGAACTGGGAATCAGAGTTTGAACATTTTGCTTTGGTCTCAAAATGAGCATACTCAAATTTGCTTCTAATGTGAGTACTTAGACTGTTACCCCACAGAACTCGTGCCTTTCCTAGGGTAGTTGTGATTGTGAAGAACATCCAGTAGTCCCTGTAGCACTGATCAGATTTTTATTCTGGTGTGTGTGTGTGTATTCTGGATTCACTAGACCTTCAGAGAAGAAGTAAAAAGTAATGATTCACTATATATATACACATATACATAAAAATAAATGACAGCAAGTGATATTAATATGGGTTTGGGGCTCTTAAATGTCTTTGTGAATTTGAGCTTTAGGTATTAGGGAGAATCACATGTTCATGGCCCATACCATAGCTTGATGGAGTAGATCAAACCCATGTCTTCTTTATGGATTTTCCCAAAAGGGAAAAGGGAGCGAGTATGTGCTTATCAAGAGCATTACTAGGCATATTTCCTACCATTTCATGAAAATAATTAAAGAGGAACAATACAAGGATGAAAAATAAGGTCACAAGACTGAACCAAGAAATCACTGCATTCAGCAGCGTAGAGGAAAAAATTGAACTGAATTATGAGTTTGGCATAGAGAATTACTTTTCGTGTAAATTCTCTTTAGAAGAACACAAAGTAGTCTAAGATCTGTTTAAACCAGAAAGTACAGCTTATTTCCTAATGGATTAGTTTTCTGGGGGGAACCTGACTGATACGGGCAGAAGTCTCTGAAGGATCCAGGCACCAGCTCTGTTCCTAACTTGACACTAGATGGTGCTGCTTAGTTTAGGTTCTCTGCCCAATAAGCTTCTCATAAGGAGGCAGCATGTTCAGAGCTGTTCCCTTTTAGCACACTCTCCTTGAATATTTCTGTGCTTATATGTTATTATCTCAGTCCTTGTTTCCCTCCTTCAGATCTGTACAAATAAAAAGAGTTTCTTCCACACTCTTCAAACAAAAGCAATCCCCAAATCAAGCTAAATAGCAGTTTCAACTAATAGTCTTTGTAGTAGCCCTTATGTACTGACAAACTCAGAATTGCACGTACAAGCAGAAGAACAAGCCCTTTCATTAAAGCAAAGGTGAAGATGGACATACGTTGTCTCGGGGTTCCTTCTCTTGTGCTGTGATCAGATGGAGAAGTGCTCTCCTGTTGAGGACAGCTTCTTCAAATGTCATGAATCTTTCTCTGAGTAGCTTACCTGGGGAAGGAAGAAAGGAAAATTCAGGTATGGCCCATGCTTTACCTGTATTCCATTTACCCAGCAACATACAAATTTAGCCATAAGGGAATGGATAATGAAATTGCAACCTTTTCACCCCACCTTTTCTCCAGCGCACGTAGAAGTTACCTTTATTGTCAATTCCTTCTGCATTTAAAATTGGCAGAGTGAAGGTGGACAAAGGAGAAGAAGAAAGAAGAGACCACCAAAACCAGAAGAAATGAAAGCAAAAAGGAGTGAAAAAGCAGAAGTAGCTATTATTACTTCACATGCTACCTGCTGGATAATAACATGCAAGGTCTTTCTTCTTGTGAAATAAATTGGACTTCACGTAGAACCACTCATGAGATGATGACTTTTGTGTTGCACACAAAGGCAGGCTTCAGAAAGCTTTTTCCAGCCTCCCCTCACCAAGGCCTGCTCCTCTCTAATGAAAAATTTATTGCACTATTTAGAAAAATCTCTCCACTTGTGTACTGTAGAAATAAAGATGCTTTGTGTTTCTTGATTTCAGCTGATTGTACTCTACAGTATGGGCAGAGGCATTACCCAGAGCACTGCACTCCATGCTGATAGCGTAGAGCTTGTACTGAATTCTGCTCTTTTCTCTTCTTTATGGGCTCTTTAGAGAGTCCTCCAGCCCCTAGGGATACGACTCTACCAGGCATGCGTGAATCTGGCTTGATCAAACAGGGTTGGTTTGAATCCTTCTACTGAAATCCTTTTCCGAGGCTTGGAGAATGCTTGCTTGGATGGCTCCAGCTCCATTTGGAGCATAGAAGCTTTTCATATGTACCTGCTTCTGAATTTCTCAGGAAGAACTACTGAGGGAGCTGACTCTTCCTTTCACAGCTGGTATTTTCTGCCATCAAGCAGCATGCATGTGTGTGCATATTTGTATATGTATTACCTTATCTCCCGAAATAAAAATATGTCAACCCATAGTAAGAGACAAGCAGGGAGTGACCATGCTGCTGCTGCTTTATCCAATACTGCTCCCTTCATTGAGAGATCTTCAGGAATGACACTGCTGTAAATTTTTGTTCCAGAACACTTCAGATTATGCTCCAACTGCAAATTTCATATTGAAATGATTGACGATTGAGTACTTCTGTGGACTGGCAACTTTAAATGGGTCTGAGCTGAAACAAGGGCATGGGACACAGTGCAGTGCTAACTCATGTGATGGCAAATAACTGTATGCCTTCTGATATGTCAGCTAAACATAGTCCCATGAACAGCAAAAAATATTTAGCCTTGCTTTCTGTTTTGATTAAGGAATTTGAGAATAAGTTTAAACATTGCAAAAAAATTTTTTTGGTACACTTGTGACTCCATGTTTAGTTGACATAAATACATTGCCTGCAAATTTTCAGATGGAATGTATAGAGTTGCAATCAGATGTTCAATTTTAAAAAATTGATAACGTCTCTCCTGCTAGACTTTCATAAGCCCTCTTTTAGCAGAGAGAAATACCCCTTGCATCACAATTACACCTTATTCATGTCATCGCTTTTTGGCAATATATGTTTGTAAGCGAGTAATTTTAAATGATGAAGTACAGGAGGAGTAAAATTTCCTTTAAAAAATCTCTGTCAAACACTGAGAGCAGCCACTGCCATTGAGCCAGCCTGTGGCATTAGCTTCACAAAATAAGGTCACATATCCCACCAGTTTTATGCTTTTGTTTCTCTTTTTTTAAATGTTTTATTAAAAGATTTCTTTTTATATAAGTTTTGTTGTTAATTATGTACATTAACTGTGTTATATATTTTATATGCAGCCCAAGACAATTCCTCTTCACTCACTGCAGCCCAGGCAAGACAAAAGGTTGGACACCCCTGCCTTACTGCCATACCACCAACACCTTGACATCATAGGCCAACATAATAAAACAGGGGGCATTACTTTTGGAGCAGCCCTCATATAGAACTCCTATAAGAAGCAGGCAGCAGCACGTTGTTGAGGACAGCTCTTACCAATATGAAAGAGATGAGAGGATGCAAAGCCACTTCCCTTCTGGCCTTCAGAGCATTTTCCTGGACACACAGCAGGTGCAGATGGGCAGCAGGACCCCAACAGTGTGGGTTCAGCAGTGCCTTTCCAAGGTTATGCTGCTACAGCAGAAAAGACACAGTCATCTAAGAAAAGCAAGGCACCAGAAATTAATGCGTTTTCACCCAACATGCCCCCTCTTATCCACATAGAAAGGTTACCAAAAGCAACGCTTCACATCTGTGCTAGTGTGTGGCTCTTAATGGAGCCCTGGTCTCTCTCAGATAGAGGGAATTTAAAATAAACATGTTTACAAGGCAAGATCTGGGGAAAAACAAAGAGCAGCCTCGGTGTTTTTTGGACTGTGTTGGAAAAGAAGCTTGCAGCACAATTGTCAGCCCTGTTAAATTATTGAGCTGCCCAGTGTTGATGCCATTGCTTCTAAAACCACTGCTCCAAACTGGTCAGCAGTAGGTTGCATGGAGAATTATTTTGATACTGCTAAATTCCATACCCAAACACACCTTCAGAGATGTGTACTCACCAGGGAAAAAAGCAAAACTCTCTAAAATATTTGCGGATAATTATGTCTTACTCTTGGAAGATCACAGACTTATTTGTAACTCCGAGAGACTGAAATGAACCACCACAACAAAAGAAGGCTACAAGATCTGGTGCTTTAAGAAAAAAGGGCACTCTTGGGTGAAATTGCAAATGTCAGCAAAACTGTCAAGGAGCAGTGGAATCTGTAACGGGTATTGTATTAAGTGGATGCTGATCTCAGCTCCAGCCTGTAAACTGAAAGTAGCTCCTTTGATTTCAGCAGAGTTACAGAAGATTGCTCTAATTACAAATGAGATCACATACATGGAGAAGTAGTAACGTTTGTCATTTAGATGTATTACTAGAATGAAGGAGATTTCTGAAATAACATTGCGCAGAAGAAGAATACAAGGGACATGGTTTAGTGGTCAAGAGTTAATCACTGGACTAAATGATTTTAGTGGTCTTTTCTAACTTTAACAATTCTGTGAATTTAAGAAACATCCAGACAGTTTTATGTTCCTGATTACACTTCTTCTGCAGGCAAATGTTCAGAAAAGTTTATAGGCAGTAAATGAACTACAAGAAAGTGCCACATTAATGCATCAAAACAGTACATCTAATCTTATGTCTAGGTTTTCATTAATCCATCAGTCAAACTCTATTTATTTAGTCCTACATGCAGGGTGAGGGTCTTCCCTTTTAAAGAAAAGGCTGTTAGTCCCTCACCCATATAAATCACACTTCTTTTAAAAAAATAGGATAATGGTATCTACTTTACCAGTGGGATTATAGAGACAGCTGGAGAAGTAAAGCAATTCAGCCACAGGTGCACTATAATATGATGGAAAGTACTGCAATAACATCAAGATAGCCAAGTCTTTAGCTACAGCAAAAGAAGATAAGCCAAAATGCAACAGAAACAAAAGAAAAAAAGCTTCTTATCTTTAGAAGGCCTCAAATAAGCAGGAAACTCCACCAAGATACCCTCACCTCCACTGCCAACACTTAAATAAGGTCTGGGAAGGGGTGGATCCTGGCTCCAGCCCTCCTGGGCATTGCATGCACCTGAGCTCCCCTGGGTTGGCCCTGCCTTCCCACCAGGGGCTCAATCACTGCTTCAGGCCATGACTCAGCATTTCCAACTACAGTGCAGTGTAAGGGAGCCGGTGGCTTTATTCCAGTGGTCTCCTCAATCAATAGGCTGCAAAAAATGCTTGCATTTTTTTTGTCTGTTTGTCAAAATAGACTTCCTGTTAAGGGAGCCTAGGCAGTACTTTGGGTATAAAACGAGACCAAGCCACTGCATTTAAGAGAAACATGGGAAAAATTGTTCAGGAGACTCCACAATTTACAGTTGGTCTTAAAACCCCAGTTCCAGCAGTCACATCATTGTGCAAGGTTCTCTGCTTGTAATGAAAGGAAAAAAATGCACATTTGGGTTTTGAATTGCCAGAGGAAACACTAAGCACAGAAAAATGTAAGAAAACTTCTTTCCAGATATAAAAAAAAATCAGTTTGTATGTTGTTTGATCTTAGTAAAATTAAGAAGTAAGCAACAAAGAGCATAATCTCAGCAAGATTGCTAAGGAAATCCCAAAAACACATTACTTTACACAGCTTTATCTGTATTACTACGTATATCTGTAATATTTTCTGGAAATCAATGGAGATGGAAATGTTTGGAAGCTGATGTACCAGAGGTTCTGGATGAGTTCTGGAAGTAATGAGACCCCTAAAACTGTGCGTTGACTGGGGAAATCAGAAAGTGCACACAATGCAAAGTCAGCTGGTGTGCAGAGTGCACTTAAGACTCAGCCATGTAGAACATTTGGGTAGTTTTGATTTCTTTGAACAAATGTGATTATTCTGCCTGCTCATCACAAATAGTTAACCTTGCTGTGAGTCAAGAATGAGTGGTCGTTTCACTGTCTACCATCCTATTTCAATTTTGATCTCAAGTCACTCAGCTCAGAAGGATAAGGCAGGAATATACAATTGATAGACCAGGCATTTGACAGATGGTGACCTATTTTAGTGCAGTTCAGTATTGTGAACTTTGTTTTATAGAGAAAGAAAATAAAGGGTTAAATTGTGAGAGAGCATGTTGCCTAACACCATTGAAAAGAGCACAGGAATGCGGATAGGAGTGATGTTCTTGAGAAAGTAATAGCTCAAGAGAAAAATATTGATGTGAAAAAGCAAGAGGAAGAGAAGCAGGGAGTTGAAAGATGACAACTCAGTAAGATGAATGCCTGGCCTAGGAGCAGAAGACTCTATTGTTCGGGCAGCCAGCTCTGGGCTGGGGAGCATGTTAGCCCCCGCCATTTTGTGCAGTAGTCTCAGCCATTTTGTGTGAGTGTATCAGCCAACAGGTAATTGCTGTGTACTCAAACTGGATACAGACTGTCTTCAAGCTTCTACTCACTTTTAAGAATACCCATCTAAAACAGACCCTAAGAGCTGAGGGTTACAGAAAAAGTGGTGGTTCTATTGGGACATGTAGCACTACTGCTAAACCTGTCTGCAGTTGGCTTGACCAAGGAAATTAAGAGCACTTACTCAGCGAAGAACTGTTATTTGCTTCTTACCAGATTTCACAGCTTGATGTGATTAGTTCTTCTCACTGCTTCATTTGCAGCACAAAACAGCAGGACATCACATCTCAGTAGCCAGCAGAGGAAGGCAGAACTTTGCTGCTAAGATTAGCAGTGTCGCATATTCTCTTGTCCTATCAGCACCGGTTTACCCAAAATACAGTGTCTGACCCTGTTTATGACCCTGCTGAAAAATGTGGCCTTAAAAAACAATTCTTTGGAAAGTGTTTGACAGTGTGAGAAAGTAGAACTGGTGCCCCTCAGCAGATGTAGTCAGGTTTATGCAGCAGCATGGATCTGAATAAATTGTGGTGACCTGAATGGGAACTGCTTGTAGTGTGGCAAATGTATCTGCCTCGTTCTATTCAGCTGGCTTTGTGCTCATCTGGACGAATAAGCATGTTGTACCAGAATAAGACCCTACAGGTACAGAGGTCCTCATGTTTCCATCCGATCCCACTGATCTGATACACGCTTTGTCCTTAGCAAGGAGACCTGGGTGCTTCTAGACTGAAATATTCCTTGGAGAGATACCTGAAGCCACTAACAAGAAGTGCTTATTTCTGCCTGTGCTTGAGGGTGCTCTTAGCTCTGTGGGCTGAGATTTAGGTGAGTGAGATGCCTATCCTTGTGATTTCTCTCAGCTGCTGTGAAAACATTTGGCAGTCTATTTGCGTTCTCTTTCTCGTGGGAGAAGGGAGCTTGCAGACAAGTAGTGCTAAAAATGAATATGTCCTGCAACAAATGGGTCGGTGCATTTCCATGTTTTTGTTTATCTAATATGACTGTAAGACATCCTAGTGATGAGCGTGTATCATATCTGCCTCCCTTGAGTAGCTAAAAGGAGATAAGAGTGCAGACTAGTGGTGCGATGTGTTTTCAGCAGTATCATGGGGCATTTTCTTGCCTTACCAGAACAGGTAAATCATGTGACCTGATGCTCACCTCTAGAAGCATTTTTACTTTATTTATCTCATTTAGGGTATCTTTTATTTATCTTCCCTCTGCATGGAACAGCCTGCATCTCCTTGGGGTGCCTTGCGCATACCTGCCTCGCTGAGAACTCACTGTGCTTATCAGAATTTCTTTCACCCTGCAATGCCCATGCAGCTGCTGTACTGCTGTCTGCTAGTGTGAAATGAGAAATCCTCCAGCGTACCCCCTGCTCGGATGCTTATTTTCCGTATCAGCTTCTGGAGGCTGAGGACACAGCAGGGAGGAAGACAAGCAGTTCTGCCGCCTGCTAGTGCATGCAGCCTGTGTTGGTGGCACGGGGCCAGCTGGGTTGCCCTTTGGCGGTGTGGGACTGTAGGATGGATGGGATGGTATGCGGTCGCCACGCTCGAGTGCCCAGGATGCTGGCTCAGAGGCGATGGAGCACGCTCTAAGGCACGCGCTCTCCTCTCATTGATTCAGCAAGCTGTTCTCTCCCGTCTGTCAGAGCTCTCAGGCTTCTTGAGGCAGCCCCTGCCAAAGCAGGATGAATGAAACTCTGGTAATTACTACAACATGAATTCACTAGAACCCTGTTGGTAGGGTTCATCAGCAGCTCATTAATTAAATCGTTGCCATGGAGATGGTTGCCCTGGTAGCATGAAATCCTTTCTCCTCCCCTTCCCCATCCTCCTCACCATTTCACAAGGTTTCTCATTCATAATCTTGTGCTTTACATGAATGAAGCCAGAAGGCTAGCGGAAGAGGTACCTGAGGAAATATGACGCCCTTTTTCCCACTGTGACTATCCCATTGTGGGCCTGAATAATCAGTCATCTCTCTTCTCATATTTTGCTTTCCAAATTAGAGAAAAATGGATTTGATGGATGGACCACTTGTTGGATAAGGAACTGGCTGGAAGTCTGCACTCAGAGAGTTGTGCTCAATGGCTCCATGTGCAAATTGAGACTGGTGATGAGTGGTGCTCCTCAGGGATCAGTGCTGGAACCGGTGTTATTTAACACGTAGGTTACATGGACAGTGGGATCAGGTGCATACTCAGGAAGTTTGCAGATGGCACCAAGCTGAGTGATGCAGTCGACATGCTAGAATGAAGAGATGTGATCCACAGGGACCTGGACAGGCTTGAGAGGTGGGCCCGTACCAACATCATGAAGTTCAACAAGGCCAAGTACAAAGTCTTGCATCTGGGTGGGGCAATCCCAAGTACAGATTCAGGTTGGGTGGAGAATGACTTGCAAGCAGCCCTGAAGAGAAGGATTTGGGAATTTCAGTTGATGAAAGATTCAACATGAGCCAGCAATGTGATCTTGCAGCTCAGAAGGCCAACCATATCCTGGGTTGCATCAAGAGGAGTACTGACCTAATAGTGGTCTTTCAGTATCTAAAGGGGAGCTACAGGAAAGAAGGGGACAGACTCTGTAGCAGAGTCTGTGGTGATAGAACAAGGGAAATGGCTCAAAGAGAGTAGATTTAAGTTAGATATAGGGCAAAAATCTTTTAGTGAGGGTAATGAGGCACTGGAACAAGTTGCCCAGTGATGTGGTTGATGCCCCATCCCTGGTTCAAGGCTGGATAAGGCCCTGGGCAACCTGGTTTAGCTGTGGTGTCCCTGTTCATTGCAGGGGAGTTGGACTAGACAGCCTTCAGAGGTCCCTTCCAACTCTAAGGATTCTATGATTCTATAAGCATGACCAGCAGGTCGAGGGAGGTGATTCTGCCCCTCTGCTTTCATGAGACCCCACCTGGAGTACTGTATTCAGATCTGGGCCCCCAACAAAAAAAGGATGTGGAACTGTTGGAGTGGGTCCAGAGGAGGGACATAAGGATGATTAGACGGCTGGGGAATCTCCCCTGTGTGGACAGGCTGAGCAAGCTGGGGCTTTACAGCCTAGAGAAGAAAAGGATTTGGGGGGACCTTATAGCAGCTTTCCAGTACCTCAAGGGGGCCTCAGGAAAGTTGGGGAGGGGCTTTTTATAAGGGCAGATAGTGACAGGACAAGGGGAAATGGTTTTAAACTCAAAAAAGGCAGATTTAGAGTAGATATTAGGAAAAAAATCTTTACTTGAGAGTGGTGAGACACTGGAACTGGTTGCCCAGTGAGGCTGTGAATGCCTCCTCCCTGGAAGCATTCAAGGCCAGGTTGGATGGGGCTTTGAGCAACCTGGTCTAGAGGGAGGTGTTCCTCCCTATAGCAGGACTGGAACTAGATGATCTTAAAGGTCTCTTCCAACTCAAACCATTCTATGATTCTATGAAATATGAAGTCTGTCTCATATACATCCTGTCTGTTTGCTTTGATTATTTACAGCTCAGATCCTGATTATCCTGAGCACCTGTGTTAATTTGTAGCCTTGGAACTAGCTGCTATTTTGCCAGTGGTGCAAGTAAGGGACTGGGTGCTCTGTCTGTAGGAGAGAC